GGTTTTTCGGTCTCTCGGCACCTTTTTCCTTCGAGCCTGAAACTCCACAGTGGGTTAAGACACCTGTGTCTTTCCTACCACATCGCTCTGCCTGTCTCCATCACTGCTAATCATGTGCCACTAGAATTATGACTTCACCGTTTGTCTTATTTATCTTTGTGTCTCTATTGGCTAGCACAGTATCTGGAAGAATTAGTGAAAATAGTGTTTGTTGAACGACCATATCAACGTTTTCTTTTCTTTTTTTAAGTAGAAGGACTTTCTAAATTCCAACCTCTCATAAGGAAACCTAAGTCTCAGAGAAAAAACTAGTCTACAGGGTTAACAGCCTACAAGAACAACAGCCTCATCTACCCTGAGGCCAGAAGAACTAGATGGTGGCCAGCTACCCAACAATCCCAACACCATAATTTGTTTTTGTCATTGTTAAGTCTCTTTCAGAGAGTTTTGACTCACAGTGACCTGTATAGGGTTTCTGAAGACCTTGTGGTTCAAACTGACCTTGCGGTCCAGTGCATGATCCTGCAGCATAATATAGGGACTCCGAATAGATGAGACAAAATGGGAGAAAAACCCAGAGCAGAACTTGAAATCTTACAAAGTTTAGACTTACTGGACCACTTGAGACTACGGGACTATCACCCCGAGGCGGTCCTTAAACCTTGAAATGTATGTATTTCCTGAGGTCACTCAGTGAAATGACAGGGGCACAAAATAAAGGGATTATCTGTAGACACGCTACTCCACTAAAAACTCATCTATATGAACTCCAAAGGTCAGCCATTACCCTAAAGCAAAGATGAGGAATACTGCGAATGGGTCCACCCAGATACAGTTCGAGAGAATGTTGATGCATGGTAAAAAATGTAGTTAACGTCATTGAACAATTACATACAAATTTTCAAATGGGAATCTAATGTGCTGTGCAAACTTTTACTGAAATACAAAATTACTTAGAAAAAACAAATTCAAGCGCTCTACAGCACATACTATATAGGAAAACAATCCAAAAAGCATTGCTGCCAAAGAATAGAAATACCAAAAAGTGAAGCTGTTGTTTGTCAGCATCTCCTCCATCTAGGTCTTCATACTTCTAAGGTGATGTTTCCAGCTCTCTCAGCACCGCCCCCCCCCCAGCCTCCCCCCATGCAAAGAGAACTCTGACCTCCTCAACTTATGCTCATCAAAATGGAAGTGTGGGCATCCTCAAGGGACTCAAATAGTGTTTCTTTTCAACGTCCTTGGAGTTAGGGGAACATAGAGAGGTCTGAAAGGGAGAGACCAGAACCGTAGAGTAGATAGGGTAAGGTTTTTCAAAGAAATTCTCAGAGGACAGCCCTTGATACCCTCATAGAAGGCACAGATGCATTATTGTGATGAGAAAAAAGGCGCAATTTTCCTTGCCTTTTTCTCATTGACGCAGTTTTCAGTTTTCTTAAAACTTTCCTCTAAAAAGTCTGCCATTGTCTCGTATCCTTCAAGAAAATGTAGCAAGATTACAATTTTGGCACCCCCCTCCCAAATGTCTCCGAACCTTCTGAACTGACTGCTCTGCCTTGAATTTGACTGGCCCAGCAGACACCCTCGAAAGTCATTCTTTTGAGTGGACCATTTTTTGAAGGCACCCTAATCAGACTAAGACAGATGTATTACTAAGAAAACTTGCTGTAGCCATCCACTGGTCACATAGACACCCTAACATTTAAATACATTTAAACCCATGCATGTATGAACGGAACCCGAATGCTGTTGCTTTTGACTGCCATGAAGTCAGTTCCGACTCATAGCAACCCTATTTAGGGTTTCCAAAGAGCGGCTGGTGAGTTTGAACTGCCAACCTTGTGGTTCAAACTGACCCTGAGGTCGAGTGCTTATCCTACAGCACCATACCAGGACTCGTGAATTCTAATAGCAATATTTTTTTTACTTCTCCTAGCATGTTTCCCCATTACCTTTTCCTACTACCCACTTGCCCAAATTTCAGCTTACATTGATTCAAAGAAAGGACAAAGATTTTTACTTCCCAATGTCAAGGCTGCTGACTGTTAGCTAAGCATAGACATTTTCTTCCTCTTTGCTGTGTTTGCACAGAACTGCTAGTAGATGCTCTTTCACTATCAAATTATAATTCTTTGTATGTATAGGTGAAAAACATCTCATGATTCTCAAAAAGAATTGTCCATGTTTTCAAAATAATCCAATATGCTTTTCCATAACATATTCAAAGTGGAGGTTTTTATAACTGCAACACTTTTTCTCAATAACAATGACAGGGTCTGACTCAGTCTAACAGAGAGAGGAGGTAGGGGATTGCACTACCAATGGTGGGAAAAACACAAGAGGGAGCTAGAGGGCAGTCAGTAAGCAGACCTGAGTAACTTGGTCTCCTTTAGAGGGCTGGGATTGCTGAGGACTCTGCGATGTTCAGTCTGGAGGACCTTCTACAGAAAGCATTTTTGCTACTTTTCTAGCTCTGGCCTCAATTTTGAAAAGATCAAGATCTTTGGTGAGTCTTTTATTTACATATTTCCAGGCCAAGATTAATGTTTTACAGCATGCCCCAGCATTCCAAGTTCCCTGAAGATATGTGTGACCTACACCGTTGGCTGCAGAGAGCTGTGAATCACTAAGTGAGAATGTGTGTATATGGGCGGGAGAGCCCAGCACCTGGAAGAGACAACACTGATGCTCACAGATGCCAACCTCAAAAAATGAAACACTATTTTTCCTTGTTTGCTTTTTAATGAGCCCACTGTAGTGGTACAGTGGGTTCAAATACTAATCACAAGGTCAGTGGTTCAAACTCACCTGCCACTTCGAAGGAAAAAGATGAAGCTGTCTTCTCCTGTAAAGATTTACGGTCTCAGAAACATCTGTGGGCAGGGTCGAGTCTGTACTAAAGGATTACTATGAATTGGAATCAACTTAATGCCAGCTGGGTTTTTTACAGATTGAATTACAGTTAGATATTCTTAAAAGGTAGGTACAAAATCTGATTTAAAGACACACAGACAAAATAATAAAAGGTGTTTTTTTTTTTTTTTTAAAAAAAAAACCTTTCTGGGTAAGTTCGTCAGATACAATTCATACAATTCTGTAGCTCTGATCATGAAGCCATTTAATGCATACAGTATAAACTAAATATGAACACTAGACAGTAACACAGACATAACGCCAACATTTCATGCTCTAGAAACATGGAATTCCCCACTGTTTTTCATATGCTTCCAAATTCTCACTAGAGTTTCCCAGACTCTTGCCAGAGATATTTATGCTGGAACAAGCAACCCCAACCTAACCTATTACTGTGCAGTCTTGTCTGACACATAGCGACCCTGTAGGAATGGGCTGAACTGCCCCATAGGGTCCCCAAGACTGTAATCTTTATGGGGGAAGGGGAGGAATGTGCTGTAGGACTGGAATGGAAGGTCAGCAGTAGTTCAAATCTACCAGCTGATTCTCACACATCCTATACAGGGCCACTGTGAATCAGAACCGACTCAGCTGCACTTAACCACAACAACCGTCCGGAAGCAGACAGCCTCATCTTCCCCTGAGGAACAGCTGGCAGGTTCACACCACCAGCACAGACCTTTAGGTTAGCAGCCGGGCGTGGGGGTGGGGGCTTAAAAAGAGGGAATTCTCCCAGAAATGCAAGGGTAATATAAATATGCAACTATCATGCAAAGGTATTTAAAACAAAACAAAACCATAAGCAAGTCACTGCCTGTTTCAAAACATAATACTTAAATCCCTTCTCTGCATTATTAATATTGAGCCTTGGCACTGAGCGAGGACTGTGGAACTATCTCACCCCTGGGAACCCTAAAGCAAGGCTGTTTGCTAATACATTGAGGGCCGCTCTGCTGTGGCGTTGCTACAAGCTTATCTGACACATGAGCTGTTGTTATGGCCTGCTGTAATGTCAGCATGGGGACCCAGGGACCCCAGATCTCAAGCACAGACTTGTATCATGGTTTTCTCAACTTGAAAAAAAAACAAACAAAACCATTCAGCGTCATTCTCAAAAAGTGTCTAAGGTGAGACAGGGTTTGTAGGGTCAGTCTATAACAAACAGTGCTACCCCTGTCCCAAGAAGGGTTTGGGACAGAAACCACTCGTGAAGGACACAGAATTACTGTGCTGTAGGAGTCCTGATGTGGCGCTGTGGGTTCATGCACCAGAGTGCAATGCCATTTGAGCTGCAAGGTCGGCAGTTCAAGCTCACCAGCTGCTCCTTGGAAACCCTATACAGTTAACAAGTTAACTGCCATCAAGTAGGTTCCGACTCTTAGTGGCCCTTTATAGGGTTTCAGAGGAGTGGCTGGTGAGTTCGAACGCTCTTGCTTGCGGTCCAGTGCTGATCCTACAGCGCCACACCAGGACTCCTGTAGTTACACTGAAATAATAGCCAAGAAGCCAGTTTTTCCTTTTTAACACATGGGTCAATTCTAGATCTGTAAGACTCAGTTTGGACTCCTGGTGTGGTGCTGTCGGGTCAGCACTGGACTAAGAACCAGAGATCCCAAGTATCTAACACAGAAATGGGCAGGTAATACCAACTACCGGCTGCTGTTAGGGAGTCCGACGGCCTTAGTACTAGACGGAGGATGAGAAACAGAGCGCGAATTCAGTCCAACAGCGCTCCACAAGGAAAGATGAAGCTTTCTGCTCCCTCCAAAAACCCTATACAGGGTCCACATGAGTGGGAACTGACTCCACAGCACAAAACATTGACAACAGCTGCTGTTAAATTGATTCCAACTCATGGCCGCCCTATATTTGTCAGGGCAAAACTGCTCCATAGTGTTTTCAATTGACTGTTTTGTAAGATCACCAGGTCATTCTTCTGAGGCACCTCTGGGTGGACTCCAATCTCCAACCTCCCAGTAAGCAGCCTAGCTCATTAACCCTTTGCACCACCAGAACTCCAATCATGGAAAGAACCACCCTCAAGTGACCACGCAAACACGTCCAATGTTCACATGACCGGAACCCACCTATTTCTTGGCCCAAGGAGGAGTTGAGGATTGCGCCCGCAGACATGACCACGGCGCAGCTGGCGAGGCCGTGAGGGTGCAGCTGGCTCAGGGGCACCACGGGGACGTGCTGTGCCCAGCCGAGCGCCGAGAAGGGCGCCTCCTTGCCGTCCAGCGTGCGCACTCGTACCCGGCTCCGGAGTCGGCACAGCAGCTCGTCCCGGCTCAGTCTGGACTCCCGTTTGCCGCGGAAGCGCACCCCGTGCTTGTTGGAACTCAAGTAATCTCTCATTGCCTTTTGCAGGCGCGGAGTCAGCATTTTGGAAGAGACATCTCCCTTCCAAAGCCGATAGAGAAAGGCCCTGGACATGGTGGGATAGAGTCTGTCCCAGTCGTCATCCTCCTCAAACACGCGGCTTCTTTTCCGCATCATGTGCCGTTTCTTCGGCAGCCTTTTCTGCACGTGAAGTGTCGTCAAAACCCTCTGCCTCTGGTCTTGCTCCAGATGGGAAACGAACGGCAGTGTCTCCTGAGTCTGGCTGTAGGGTCCGGGCTGACCAGCAGCAAAAAAGTAGTCATCATCTCCCTGGTAGAAAGCACTTTGGGACTTTCTCCCGATCTGGGATGAAAACAGCTCTTCTTCATTTTCAAACCTATCATTCACGTGGGCCCATCTCTGCAGGTCTCCGTCAGGCAGCACCTTGTTTGCATCGATGCCTTCAGCAAAGGAGGCTTCGTGCATGGCTCCCATGATGGCTCTCTGCTTGCCCTGGATGGGCAGAAGCTTTTTGGTCTCCAGGAAGGAGAAGGAACTCGGTGCAGGTTCAGCAGGGTTGCTGTCGGTGAAGTAGATGAAAATCACCAGAAAGAGGAGCCCCCAAGCAAATATTCCAAAGAGCATGAGTTGTTTCCACTGTTTCAAGTTCGGTTTCATGGCAGGTCCCCAGGCAGCACCTTTGTGTCCTAGTGCACTGGGAGGCAAAACGAACCTGAAAAATAGCAAAGTGCTGCAATGAACAAACATAACTGGAAGGGAATCAGAAACCAGAATCCGATTCAGATATGTACCCTGCCGGGACCACCCATCTCCACCAGTCACAAGGGTCTCACCACCTTCCCTAAGAGTCTTGAGAGACTAGGTGTGGGTGGGCATGTAACTCATATTTGATAGAACTTGCCCAGATGATTCCATTACATGTCCTATCCCCCACCTAGAGACCAAGTACTCACCGTGAATTCCAACAGCCTCTCTTAGCACCTGGCTTTGTAAAATTCCAATTGTTAGAGCAAGCAAGGGAGGTAAGAATAGTTTGCCAGCACCTTCCTGCTTATCAGACCACCGAAGGCACAATGGTCATATATTTTACATCAGCAACCATCTCTAATTCTTCATGGTCTCCCCCAAGTCCAGAAGGCTGCCTGGAATATACCCACATTCCCACAGAGTGCTAAATGAAGCAACATTGGAGTGGCTGCTGGGAAGAAGTTATGCCAGGGTGCTTGCTAACTTTGACAGTGCCTCCACAGAACGCCCCCTACTTCACTGTTCCCTTGAATCAAGTAGCCTATAAGGGAAGTATGTGAAAATTTTAAATAAGGGAGAGATGAGGAGAGAGCTTGCTGATTCTAGATGAGACTCCAATAGGGGAAGGGTGATAAAGAGAAAGAGATGAAAAGTATAAAATACGTGAAAAAGAGAACAAATCTGTCATCTGTACAGTGCTGCAACCAAGGTTTATTGCTAGGTGGGGCGGCACAGTTCTTGGTACTAAGGGAAACATAAAACATTAATAAGAAATGTTCCTAACCTTCAAAAAAAAATGTAAGCAAAGCTCTAGAAAGGAGAAAAACAAAACAAAACAAAACAAAAAAAACAGAAGGTATATTTGTGGAATAATAGTTGAGCTGTTGGAGCTCAAAACAGAAAAACAGACAATAAATATTTGTTGACGAATGCCATGAACATATGTGCATGTGTGTTGGAGGTTGTATGAGAGTTTGTTTGGGTTCTGGTGTTGGAAGAAGGGAGAACATTTGGGGAAAACTTAACTGTGAAAGTATTACTCATTCCAGCTGTGGAGGCTCTTCAATGCCTGTTTGTGTGTGTTTGTGTGTGTGTGGGGGGGGGGGGAGCAGACTGTTGCTGTTGTTTGTTGTTAAATGTCATCAAGCAACCATATATATGGTTTCCAGGGAGTGGCTGGTGGGTTTGAACTGCCAACCTTGCAGTTCAAAGCAAGCTTGCAGTCCAGTGTTTTATCCCACAGCATCACCCCAGGACTGCCAGCTTCCAATCCCTAACTGTTAGAGAGCTCACTCAGGTGGAAGCATGCTACCAACTATGATGTCTTCATGACTAAGTCCACCACCTTGTAGTGATGAAGCACAATCTAACCAAGTGGAGACGCCATGGGAAGAGATTTATCCAGCCAGCCCTAAGCTGTTCCAACTGTCCCAGTCCTGGTGACAGATATGAAAGTAAAGTACAATCTAGGATGTCCAACCTAGTTGAGCTTTCCAATGACTCCAGTCGGAACCAATATCTAACCCAACTGTATGAAACACCTGAGTGAGAAGCCACACCAGCCCAGTCATGCACAAAACCATGAGATGGTAAATTGTTGTTGTAATACCCTAAGTTTTCGTGTGGTTTGTTATACCAGAATAGATCATTGTAACAGACCCTAATAGAAATAGTAAGTATTGAAAATCAACGTGTTTCCAACAATCACATCATTCTAGCTTTTCTGTGTGCTTTTATTAAAATCAGCTATTTAAATATATGAAGATAAGTAAAAAACAGTGCTCCTAGGATTCCAGTTTATACAGGCACAGGTTAATGCCACACAAATTGTGTTTAAATGTCTCTGTGATACGAGGATGGCTGAAGACAAGTTCTCTCAGTAATGCATTTGTCTTCATCTCATTAGGGTGCTTTCAAAAAAAGGATACTTTTTGTGCTATGGGAAAAAATAAAACAATTTTAAAGTCATGGATATTATACAATTTTTAACAAGTGGACATCTTCCCAAATTACTGAAGCTATGCAATAAGTTTATGGGATTTTTGTCCCACATAAAACTACAGATTTTAGATGAATCAAGCATTTTACAGAGAGCCAAGACAGGAGAGGCCATCAGCCTGGATGAATGAAGAAACTGCGGCTGATGTAGAGAAACTGGTGGGAGAAGGGAGTAGAATTACCATTCATGTGAAAGCTACTGGAGCTGCGGTCTCACGGGTTTGGTATTTTCAATTTTAAGGGAACATCTTGGCCTCCGTACGTTTTTAGCTTTATGGATGCCAAAAGCACTGCATGAAGATCAGCCAGCTCAAAGAGCTGATCTCTCCATCAATCTTTTAAGCAAGATTGCAGCTACTGCGAACATTTTATAGAATGAATGATAGCTGGGGAAAGAGTCTTAGATTCAGCAATATGACCCAGAGAGCAAGGCCAACCAGAATGGTAGCTTCCAATGGGATCTGCTAGGCCAGTTAGATTACAGGTAGACAGACCAGCCCAGATCACGGCTGCTGTTTTTAGGGATGCCAAGGGGCATCTTCACAGGTTTCTTCCTTTCTTTTTTTTTTTAATGTTTTATTGTGAATTATATGATAGTTTACATGGGGGAACTTTAGTTTTACATTCATTCCATTTTATATCATTTCATTGCCATGGTTCCAATCCCCTCCATGCATCATCAACCACCCAAAGGGTATATCCCAGAAACCCGCCCCCTACACTTCCCCTTCCTCCCCCCAGTTTTCAGCCCACAGTCCCTTTCCCTCTCTGGGTCCAAAGTCCCCAGTCACTTCATCACTCCGCGTCATCATCTCTGCCTCCATCTCAGGCATCTCTGTTTCTCTGGGTAGGGTCCCGCTCTCGGCTTTTCTCCGTTGATGGTCCCAGAGGTCTCCGCTCCTATCCTGGAGATTTAATCACTCCCTTCCTTGTTACAAAACGTCTACCTTTGCATTTCCAACCCTCATAGTCCATCCTGATAAGCATTATTCACTACAGTATCACGAGTTACCCATCTGTATCTCCTTTCATCAGCTCCGCCCAAACAGATTGAATAGTACCTACTGGAGATTCTTCACAGGTTTCTTTAAAGGAAAAGGGAAGATCATCATGTGGGCTTTTTATGAAGAAGTTTCAAGAAAATTGAAAACTGTATTGATGAGAAAAGAGCCAGGAAAATTGTACAGAGGACTTTTTTTTTTCCCCATCATAACAATGTAACTGCTCATTCTTCAAGGTTGTCCTTTGTGAGTTTCATTGGAAACCTTATCCCTCCACTGTAAAAGCCTGATCTTGCTCCTTCAGATTTCTTTGTGTTCTCAGAACTCAAAAACATTTCAAAGGAACACGGTTGAAGTCCCTCAAGGATGTCAAAACTGCCACTTTGATGTAATGTAAACCTAAGAGTGCAGAATTCTTTGGCGAAGGGTGAGAGTCACAGAAACACTGCCTTCAGAAGTGTATAGACCTAGATGGCGGGGCTGTTGAGAAACGAGAGTTTCACATTTTGATATTTCTGTTTAATAAATGTGGCCATTATTTTGTTGCAATACTTTTTGACTAGGCCTCATACGTGTCGTGGATGGATTTTCAGAATGTGTTTGCTTATAAGATCGTGGGTTTCATATGCACTCATAAATACACAGAACATGTGATTGTGAAGCCAGAAATACTAATGCCAAAAAAGGGACATAGAAAAAATAATACCAGCGCTAAAACTGCTGAGCACCTTTCTAGGTTGTCTCTGTTGGCCTTCCCAGCACCTAGTAACACAGGAAGCATTGCTATCTACATGTTAGAGACCGTAAACTGGATCTCAGGGACATTAGGGAAGCTGCTCACAACCACACAGTAGGCACCTGTGGCAGATGCTACTACAAACCCGTCAGCCTGAGTCTAGGGCTCACACTTACAACCTTTCTGATTTCATCTGATTTTGCCAAAAGGGTCCCATTTTCAAAATTAGGTTTATCAGACTATCTGTGGTGAAGGATCATTTTTCATCCAAAGTTTCAGATTTATAAATTTTACTCTTATATTGTTAAGGAGCTCTTGTAGCGTAATGGTTACGAATTGGGCCACTAATATCAAGGTCAGAAGTTGGAAACTACCAGCTGTTCTGCAGGAGAAAAATGAGGCTTTCTGCTCCCATAAAGATTTACATACTCGGAAACCTGTACAGGGTTACTATGAGTCGGAACTGACTCCACAATACACAACCACCACCATTGTTGTGTTTGAATGTCTTGACAAGGTTCAATTGCTCTAAGTTTCCAAATGCTTATTCTCAAATCCTGTACTTATCTCACTGGGAATTGATAAGAAGTTCATTTGTGGACAGCATTTGGACACCACACTTTGAGATGCTGTTGTTATTAGCTTCCAAGGAGTTAGCCCTTAACTCAGGGAGAGACATAGCCCAGACCTGCACCTTCCCCAGGATCATCTCCAAGAAGGTGATTTTAGTATTTCAGCATTTCAAACAGAATTCAGAGAATTACCTGCAATTACACTGCAGTAGCTCATTTAAAAGGCAGGTTTTTTTCTGCTTCTTACTGCCAGTTACCATAACCTGGTTCCCCTGCACTAAGCAAAACCCTGGCGGGCTTCATCCCGTGTGTGTGTGGGGGGGCTGACTAGAGAATGAAAACAGGATTCCTGATGTGCAGCCACTTTGCTTGAAGGGATGTTTCCCAAAGCATCAAAGGGTGAGGGGTGCGTAGACAGTGGCAGTAACTCAAAGAAGGAAAGGCAACCCTAGATCTGGAGGGAGGGACGCAGTTGCCACCAGGTCAGAAGAACTACTGATTCCTTTACCTCAGCGAAGTCAAGAAACCACAGGCATGCAAGCTGAGAGGGTGAAGGTGACTCCATTTCAAGCCTTAGTAAGTTTCATAGCAGGATTCAGAATA